GGAAGCGTCCTTCGAGAGAGTACAAATGTTCTGTGCAAAATCAAGGTAGATTTTAACCCTAGCTATCCCAGGGTTAAATTTTACCTTGAACGCATAATAGAAAGCTGATGGAGAAATGATGATTGAGGTAACTTTTAACCTCAAGGTAGAATGATGAATACGGGTTTATGCGTTTCAAGGTTCATTTCTACCTCAAGGTAGACTTAACCCACGAGAAAATTTCATTGCGATCATGTTGTGAATACGGGTTATAAACTAAAATGCTAGCTGAGGTAAGTTTTAACCTCAAGGGTTCGTTGATGAATACGACCACTGGATCGCATCACGAAATTTGAAAATCAATAGAAAAGAAGAATGCCTTGCCGTTACAAACGAGCTGGCACCGTTCCAGACCCTTTGTGGGTTCTGACTTACTGGATCTGGGTTAGGTCAAGCGGGAAATGGTTCGAATACAAACATATCATAGCAGCGGCGTTTCACCTGGGTGGCCGCTGACTGCAAGGTCATAAGGTAAGCGCTAACTTGTTTTGTGCCTCTCGTTTGTTTTTGGCTCTGTCAGCTCTGGGTTGTACCGATGTGGTAGAGATAGAGCATTTGGAAGGATAGATTACATATATCATCATCCTTACAGTTCTGAATAAACCTAATAAAGCTGTATAACAATCTTGGCCTCAGCTACAACAACTCTACCAACTCTAAAGTACCACCTGCATACCGTCGTGTCGGGAATTCACGCTCTTTCGAATGAGCCTATAAACAGGCTTGTAAAATGACTGCCGAGCGAACTACAACCCTGTAAAGTGGTGCAAGTCAGTGGTGAGGTGCAGGTGGTGTAATGTGCACGCACTGTCAAGAGCCATTTTCAGCAAAAAAACTCACCAGCACAAGTCCGCATAAAGTGTGGCAAAAAGCATCTATGTTATCCGAACAGCTTTGTTGGGCTTGGGAGTAACCACTACCTAACTATTGTCCTCGATGGGCTTTATAATATAGTATGCTTACCTGTCCGGAGACTGTTTTTGCTCCAAAAAAGACCTAAAAGATTTTAGCGTTCGAAAAATCATTGTCCGCGACATTGTGACGTGCCCTGGAACGGTTTTTTTGAAAAAAGTTTTCAATTTATTTAGAATCCATTTTTCCAGAAAGCGTAATGTGCGAAGTTGTTGCTCTTGAAAAGCTCTATTATCTTGTATAGTCCGATCGTTTCTTCATCGTTGTTTTCCATCTGAAAATGAGCGATGGAAAAAGGAGGGCGACTTGTCCGCAACTTTTTGGCGGTCACTGTATGTCATACATCCATGGGAAGGGTACCACTGAAATGTGCAAAAATTTCTTTTTCAAACAAAAACACTTTCAAAATCTTCCGCACCCTGCTTGATGCCAATCTTGAGTAATTTCCTTTAACTGCTTCTAACTCCCGATTAATCTCATGCTAATTCATGGCAAAGATATGCTGTAAAGTGCATGGTTTCCTCTTTCAAACAAAAGTACAGGGTGTCCCAAAAAATGTTTCGAACGTTTGATCGTTAATATCTCTCTTCCCAAGAAGTCTTTTGCCTTGCTTCAGGTACCGTTTTGTAGAGCTGGCTTCAACTTAGATTGAACGAATCACCCATCTTCATTACTGCAGGGTTACGGTAGAAACTTCAAAGAGGATTTTGAACCATGAAAGGCCATATTTTGCCTCAAAAAAGAAACAAAACAGCCTGAAAACTTTTACACCAGGCTAATTAGAATTGCTGATTATAACTGTAATGTTCCCAACTTATTATGATGCTTCATTGAAGAGTTATGGCAGGTGAGAGGTAGCGGCCTTTTTTTCAATGTTCCTAAAAAGTGCGATTACACCGTTTAGAAAGCTTCGTAATCTTGTGAATAGTTGAGTATTGAACTCAGGGTCTATAAAAACCCTATTACACAAGTTTTCACAATTTTTTGAAAAATTTTGAAACGGCAGCTTTTTCCACATTGACACCATATGTTTCAAGTTTCTACCGTAATCCTACAGTAATGAAGAGAGATGGGTGATACGTTCTATAATGGAAATCTAAGTTGAAGCCAGCTCTACAAAATGGTACCTGAAGCAAGGCAAAAGACTTCTTGGGAAGAGAGATATTAACGATCAAACGTCCTAAACATTTTTTTAAGACACCCTGTATTTTCAAAAGTCCTTTGCGAAGGAAGGAGGTCATGATTTTTTGAGGCGAACAAACTTTTGCACCCACCTAATATTCAGCTAGACTACTCGTTGGCCTGCGAATAAAATGGAATCTAATTTCTAGTCAACAGAATTTTTTTAAAGTTTAGTGTACCTTGCTTACGATGTAAGGTCTACTTGTTTTCTTCCGGATGTCAGTTAGCACTGACATCCGGAAGAAAACAAGTAGACCTTACATCGTTATTGAGCAGACCAGTGCCTCAGTTGCGACTTTAGTTTGCGGAGCAGTTTGAATTCTCGAGGATTACAAATAAGCTCGTCTATGGAATCGGCATGAAAAAATGTTGAGATTATGTTTATTTTCTGTTATACAATGCTTGAAAAAAATTATGAGCGCCTCTTTCCCGCAAAAGCATGTCAATTCTAGTGAGGCACTTCGTAAAGCTTTTGCAGATGAGGACTAATGGCGTAGTGGATAAGAACGAAGCCTCCGAAGCAGAACTGGATTATTCAATTCATTCTATTTTCAAACATTTTTGCACGTTCAGAATTCATTCGCTTCTTTTCCTTGCACCTTACAGTCTGAACTGCTTTTTACTCTTACGGAGAGAGGATACTTGGTGGCTGTAGCCTTTCGATATTTGACATATGTCATGACATTTGCCTTGAAATGCTGATCTCAAAACCGCATTCGTTATCTGCTGAACGATATTTCGGAAGAACCGTATTTCTCCTCATATGACGTGTTTGCACAAGAGTACGAGTAATTTCGATAGGTGCCAAAGGTCTTGAATGGTTAACACGTTTCGGACCGCGAAATCGCGTGCGGCGGAAAAGAGTGTTCTTTCAGCCGTTAGCCCACAAAGGGACCTTATTTCGCAGCCTGTGGGCCACATTTGTAATCAGCATGTCAGATAAGCTCCATGTCCAAAGTTCTGAGTGAATTCGAAGTGTTTGAATTTTGTCGCTTGAGAGGGACTTTTGTGCTTTCTTAAAAGATAGGAACAAGAACTCAGATCCTAATAGTATTCAAAAGTATCTATGTTGTACACGGCACACATCAGTATTGAAACTACGGTTTTTCTCTTTGATATCGAAGCAAAGGAAAGTTGCGACGTCGCACGCGTCGTTCGCGTCGCCGCACTTCGTTGCAACTGTTGTTCGATTTGTGCTCATATCTCCTAAACAAACATCGGCCGCACAACTCTACAGAGTCATTTGAAAAGTAGGAGGTTAGACCTTTAACTTAATAACTTTGGACTAAAAGGAAACCTCCTGCAAACGCCAGAAAGATCCCTCAAAGCAGCGTGCTGCACCATGTGCAGCACCGGTCCGAAACGTGTTAAGTAGTTAGAGCTGCCGATTATTGCACAATGGTTGCCCGTTTGATCTCGGTCGGTGCAAATATTTTTTTTTGCGTTGGCGCTTTTACAAGTGCTAATTCTTCTCGGAGAATCGTTCTGCAGCTAACGAAAATAGTTTCAACATCAGCGTTTCAGGGCAAACATTTTGATATATAACGTATCCCAAAAGGCCACGGCCGCCAATTATCCTTCCCTTGTTAGACATCGCAATTCTAGAGCTTCAAATTCTCTTTGGTAGGTGTTGATGAACAAACTTTGTAAATAATTTTTTTCGGCAAATTTTTTGAGAAATAACAACTTTTCCCTTGCAAAACCATTGTTTTCACGTAAAAATTGTTTGTGATTCATTTTATGGTTCGAATTACATTCACTTACTCATGTATCAATCTTACTGCGCTCATGATGAATACTAGCTTGTTTTGAAAGTTCTGCCAATTTGCAGATTCTTTCATTCGAATATTATAACCCATTTCAAAATTTTTTGAACAAATCGAACTTTGCAGGATTGAGCGAGATTGCGGCTATAGTCACGCGAAAAAGCCAAGTAAAAAAGGAGAAAAAATATAAGGAAATCTGCAAGGTTCTTCGCACCGTTTCTTTTGACATATTATCCCATACTAGGTACAAATAGACATATTTGACTGCGATCACAGCACATAATTCAGAGATTATTTGATGGCTGAATAGAATTTCAAGTTGTCTTTGCTGCAGCAATTTTTGAGCAGTTCAAACAAAAAACCATTATTTGAGCCCTTTTTCGCTCTCCCAGATATGCCACTTTCCGATATATTTTTTTGCTGTCGCCAACCCTAAAAATTTTTCGGAGTGCGTGGCTGACGCCACGCACCTTTCAAAAAAAATTTTTTGTCGCGCCCCCCCCCGAGCGGAAATCCTGGGTACGCCACTGCTACGTAGGTAATCTTACACTGCCGAATCTCCATAAAAACATTTTCTTGAACATGAATGCAATTTTAGTGCCTCAACTTCGAGGCTTGAATCTCATCACTGGGAAGATATTTCATCAAGAATTATCGAGCTTCGGAAAGAGCAATAAAAGTGCTCCTAAGCGGTATTCTTGATACTGCATTGCAAAATTTGCGTAAAACAAGGCAACTAAAAATTTTACAGAACTTTCGAAACAATCCGATACTTGCGGTAATATCTTAGGTATGTGATAGGTAACAATTATTTTTAGACACGTATGTAGATGTGTCACAGTACTAAGTCAAGATTATGAATGCTGAGCACTCTTTAATGACACGTGACCGCAATCACAGCAACAAAGATCCTCGAACTTGAATTAGGATGTGCCATTCTGTCAACTTGCTACTGCTGAATTCAAAGAGTGACGTATACTATCGATGCTAACTTATGTAGTTACGCAGAATCCGACCGCAAATGACTAAAAAGTACGTTTTTTCCATGTTTATTACGCCATCTTTGACGAACAATGTAATTTTTGTGCCATTCCTGGAGTGCATCATCATCTTTACCGGTAACGCCGGTATCGGCAAACACCGGTCACTTACTTCACTGGCGATTCATGCACGTTCACTTTGATGCTGCTATTGCCAACCTCCGTTCTATCGTTCCTTCTCTTGCGTAAGAATTTTTGTAAGTTCTAAACGTGTTTTAATGCAAGTTTTTGACTTTCAGAAGTACTGCTATGTGAAGCTAGAAGGGGAGGATTCGTTAGAAGAGGAGGATTTGGCCGAGTTGGAAGATTCAGAGGAGGTTTTGGCCGAGGTAGAATTTACGGATATCCAACAAGAGGCTTGTTTGGTGGAGGACGCAGACGCTTTGGTGGCATCGGAGGCGGTCGAAGAGGTTTTGTTGGAGGGAATTTTAGAGGCATCGGAAATCGCTACTACGGTCGCTTTGGACAAGGGCGTGGAGGATTTGCTCCGAGTTACAGCAGATTCCTCAACAGAGGCTATGGAAACCGTTACCGTGGTCAATTTGGAAGTCGTTACCGTGGTCAATTTGGAAACCGCTACCGCAGTCAGTTTGGGGTAGGACGTGGAGGACTTGCGTCAAGTTATAGAAGATACCTTGGGCAAGGCCCTGGCAGATATCGCGGAGTGGGTGCTGGTGTAAGAGGTTGGCCTGGTCATTTTACTGGAGGTGCTCACGGTAGAGGCCAACTCGGCTGGGGTGGACGCCGTAATCCTGGAACGCGTATCGGCCAACATTATTACCCTGGAAGAACAGTCGGCAGAATTGGTCGTCCTGGAAGTTATCCTGGTGGACGCCCTGGTCAAGGCCAATTTTCCAACGGCCATCGTTACGGTGGAAGATATGGGAATTGGAATAATGGCAGAGGAGGAGGGTAAGCCTTCAGATTTCCAACTCTTGTCTAAAGTCCTTAAATATATTTTTGAACAAGGGTAAGTAAGTGGCGAACTGCTCTCTCAAAAATTTGAAATGAAATAAAAGAAATTGTCGTATGCTTTAATACTACACTTTTCATTAAGAAGTTGTGCTTCGTAAATTTTCTTGCATTGCGCAAAAAAAATCTCGTTTTTCGCACTTGATTATTTCTGCGCTATTCGAAGTGATCCAACTAGCATCCCAAAAAGCATTTCTATTACCAGAGAGAGGAAATATCTGCATGGTTATGGTTAAGAGTGTATCGCCAATTCATGATATTATTATAATTTCCCGCTTTACTGCTATGACACTAACAAGTGACTATCACCGAAATCACATTAATTTAAGTTTTTTGGAGTATTGATGAAGAGGAAAAAAATCACGTAGTCTTCACTGAAGCAATTCTAGGCCAAACTCGAAAGTCAATAAGTAATTCGCTAGTGACGAAATTTTCCGACGATTTTTGAACACTTGTCTAAGAAGGGACAAGCTTTTTGTGTCGAAGTGACTATTAGATGACGCACGCAGTTGTTCGCGGATGTTTTCCCATTCCACTGGTCATTTTCTGTCAAGGCACAAAGCAAAAAATACAGTACTTTGAATTGCCTTCCCTATTAACACGTACCGTGGATTTGATATATGTTTTCCCGGCAACTAATTTACAATTGTCCAATGTTACAATAGTATCAAAGAATATGGTGGGCCAGGAAATAGATGGATCGTCTTTCCGTACAACTGATATATCCTAAACCGATTATCACATATACTGAGCAAAGGCCTCTCTAATTAGGGATGCAGTCGCAGCGATTTGGCGCAAAAAAATTCCTTAATATAGGCAGCGCTTGGGCAAGGTTAGGCAATGGGTTTTGTTTATTTTGAATTTAGACAATCTCGACACACCCTCGACACACCCTCGCACAAGTGCAAAGTCATAATGTTGGACCAAAAAGGAAGTCCCTTAGGAAGTTGGAAGGTTATGCCTTAGGCTTCGGGCAGAGTTCACGCTATTTCATCGCTGCGATTTACAACAAGACAAATAGTAACGAGTCCATTGCATTCTGATTATCTTGCATTTCCGTTGTGATAGTCAGTCACGATTGGTCGTGTTGGAGAACTAAATCGGCTCCCACTATCGCACCTCTGAATGTGAGGCTTTGAAAAAAAGCTTTTTGTTCTTTAGCCCTCGTAGGTATGCATTATTCATGACACTCAAAGACGGATCGCCTTTGCGTCTGACCAGAATAGCTCGTCTAAGCATAAGTGGAATGTTTTTGACCTGCAGTAAGAAATCACTAGGTTTTCCATTAAGCTTGTGGAACAATTCTTGAGGGAATTTTTTGTTTATAAGATTCTTCGCTACTATTTTCATGTATCGACCAGTGTCCTACGTTTTCGTACCATTCATTCAAAGTTCTTAAGCTTGGCTTCAAGCGTTTGGGTAAAACGGCAGTAGTGCATCTTATATATAAAGCTGAATGTCTGTTTGTATGTATGTATGTATGTATGTATGTCTGTCTGTATGTGTGTACGTATGTTCCGAATAGAAAATTCCATTTCTGAACCGATCCGGACCAAACTTGGCACACATACACTTCGGGCCCCGGCGGGTGTCATAGGCTACTTTTCGTATCGATCGATATCGATTTTACCGATTTTTTGCAAAATTTGAGCTACGGGGCTAGGAGTTGGCACAGGGGGTAAGTGAGCATGGGGATTCCGAATACAATATTAGTTTTTAAAATCGTGCATTACTTTTATCGATTTTATCGATTTTTTTGCAAAGTTTGAGCTACGGGGCTGGGATTTGGCACAGGGGGGTAATCGAGCATGCTGATCATCCCCGTGGGGGTGATCAGCATGCTCGATTACACCCCCTGCCAAATTCCAGCCCCCTAGCTCAAATTTTGCAAAAAAATCGATAAAATCGATGAAAGTAATGCACGGTTTCGAAAACTAATATTGTATTCGTAATCAGCATGCTCGATTACCCCCCTGTGCCAAATCCCAGCCCCCTAGCTCAAATTTTGCAAAAAATCGATAAAATCGACATCGATCGATAACGAAAAGTGGACTGTGACACCCGCCGGGGCCCGAAGGGTATGTGTGCCAAGTTTGGTCCGGATCGGTTGAGAAATGGAATTTTCTATTCGGAACATACAGCGGAGCCGGGTAAGCCAGCTAGTTTATAATATTCGTAGAATTGGGCAGCGCTTTTCATCGTTTTGGTGCACTGGCCAAATAGCAAAAGCTAGGCATTCGGCAAATAGTGAATTGCAAGAAATCTTTCAATTCGGCCCCTCTTTTTCAAGTCACGCTGGCACATTAGCCATGAAATGCAGACTGCAAATTTGAAGTAATGAAATATGACCCGTAATGTCCATTTCTTCGAGCGAACAAAGGTACGATACAGTACGATTAAAAATTGACTTCTATCGACTTCTCCAATGGAGCTGTTATCCGGCTTTTCTGTCTCAGTTTTTCACTTCATCTTGCGGTTCAATTCTTACAAGGTTTGGCGCCGTGTTTAACACTTTTGTCGTAAAAGCAAATAGTCTTGTCTTTTTTTGTTTTGTGACGAGAGAGTTAGAGTTATAACCATCCTCCCGAGCTTTTTGCAGCCCATTTTTTTAAATTCAGGGAGTGCTTTTGCGATCTGCTTTTACGAGCCGTGTATTAGAAATTTCTCGCTCCATTTGCGTGATAGAAGTGGTGATGTGAAATGATTGTCAAAGACAACTTTTAGCGTGACTCTCACCCTGGATTACTATATCTTAGTAGCAGGTCCTAAAGGTAGAGAACCGCATTTGTCCGGTCCATTCATGTTGCCTACAAAAGAAGATAACGGAGTGGTTCCTCCTTGCGCTCCGCCCCTTTTTTGCGCTCCACCCTCTTACGGATTGCTCGAGACGTGTTTGACATGACAAGGAACGTCATGTTTAGTTTGTAATGTGGCAGTGTTGCGCACGACGGGCTTCCAGTAGCATACGACGTGACTAGCGCCGGGACTCGTCCAAATCTGTCAAATTAGGGCTTCAGAAAAGGTAACTTTGGAGTTTTCTGGTGATTTGAAGCTCACATCCAGTTGTTCGCAACGAGTCTCATGCGAGATTATGAGACCTTTCCATAGCTTACGTCGCCGGTCATGGTCGGCATTGACATCAAGCGCAAAGACAAGAAATATGTGCGCGGAAGATTTAGTTTGTAGAAAGTGATTTCTTGTGGTTACCACCATTCGTGGTTGGAATATTGAAATACTTACATCAAAAATATGGGCCACTTTCTTTTCTTGAATTGATGCGTCAGTGTATATACCACTTGCATATACTGAATGCATGCTGGTCTTCTCCATCATTTCATCGATCACGGACTTAGGGAAATATTAGGAAAAGTCCGCAGGAAGCGTTGGGATATCACTTCTCCTTCAGAATTAGCGATCGAAAGTAACATTTGGAGGTGTGGACCTCTCACTGGTCCGAACATTCATGTTCTCAATGTCTTTCTCCCACCATGTCTCATAAGACAGATAAGCGATCCTCGTTCAAGTCAACAAACTCTCCGCCGTTACCGTCTTCCTCGTTTGGCTCATGTTGCCTTCTGTGTCATTCTTCGAATTCTCTGAATTCCTCAGCCCAATCTTTATCAACGGAATTGCGAATCGCTAATGATGCGGCCACACAAAACAAATTCACACTATCCTTTCAGATTGCAGGGCCGAGCAGTCCATCATTGCTTCGTCTACAGATGCTTCTGATACAGATGGAGCACGAGCAGAAACGTGATGGACGCGCATTTAGAAAGCTATAGGCTAGCTAAGCCGCCGTCTGTCGCGGCGTTGCTGCAGTCTTTTGAACTTGGTGGTGGCAATTGCTACCGCCAGGTTCAAAGGGTGACAAAAGAGAATGGACGGTAAGCCTTGGCAACTTTGTAGACTCAGGGATTCGCCGGGGGTAGGTGGTCATGCAATTTATAGGCAAGCGAGCGCCGGAAAAATAATTCGCTGACTTTTTGCGGTTCGCTTGCGGATATTTGAGAAAACGTTAGGCTTTCTGAGCGAACGTGTGGGGATTGCTCTTAGATTAGTTGCGGCGCAGTCCGCATTCCCGTGGACTATCCGCTATAATATGCAGAAATGTTGGGGCCGCACGATCTTTTATGAAAGACCACACAGCTCGCAAGTATCTTCCGCTGAGAGAAGGTACCCCAAACTCGGGTAACAAACCATCGATGACACCTCTGCCACATAAAGTCTCACCTCACCAGTTTCGGCCGCCCGAATCTGCGTAAAAGGACCAAGCACCTGCTGGAAGTTTGGCCAGCGCTCGCTGAAAGAACGTATCTGACGAGCGGCCGAAGAAAATTCTGTATTGCTGCATCACGGAGGTGCCGTGTTGAAGATTTGTCCACTCCCAAAAATTTTGCTGACCGCTTGCAGAAAAGCGCGAGTTTGCAAACCTCCTGACCGCGGCGATTATCTGAGGAGATGCTTGCAAAAGATCACAACATATTTTCATTCTATAAGGTTGCTCCCCGAGTTCGCAGCTTTTGTACGAAAGAAGATGGATCTCAACAAAAATCAGTGGATGATGTTGCTGTAGTGCCCAAAATTTCTCCACCTTGCCACCAGACTGTCAATCCCATTTTTCCACAGGGCAGCTCCAAGGGTCTCTGAAAAATTTTCAGTGCCTAAAATCTCTTTCGAAATCGAAACAATAACAATTGATGTGATCTGAGAAGTACACGGGATACACACTAGTAGTGGTGGTTCCAGGATTTCTTTGCGAGAAGGGGGGGGGGGGAGAGAGACAAAAAAGTTCTTTAATAAAAGTTCGTGGAGATAGCCAAGCACCCCGAGGTTTGGGACGCTTTCCAAGATTCTTGCGGGTCAAAATTCCGGAATTTGAACGGGGAAAATAAAGATCTTACCAATGAAATCAATTATTAAACTTTGAGAAGCATGATCAGCCCTTTATAATTATCGCGAAAAAGTGAGGATAAAATCTGACAACAACCTCATAAAGCAACTAATACGTTTGAGTATACAATGAAACTTCGTTCATGTCTATTATACATATCTGAATGAGAGAGATTTCTGTTCCATCAGCAGCCTTAACCGTGGTCGAAATTGTTTTAGTTGAATGGAAGCTACCTCAAAGTCTTGTAGTTAAGTCCGCTTTAATGTAGTTTCTGCAAAACTAAGACTCATTACCATCACTCAACCCCAGTGATGGACTCCTTATCTCCGTTTATTCATAAAAATTTTTGCATTTAATCTCATCTTTCAGTTCACAGCACTGCTTACGCGAGCCAATCTTTTATGGCCCTTTTGCAGTTCAGTTCGTACTCGTTAATTTTTACAAGCAGTTTGAAGAGTTTTTGGAGCAAAAATTGAGGGATTCTAACCTACCCCAAGGACTGCAGCAAGCAAACTTTTGTTGGGGAAGGTCAATGTCATTTAATCCAATCAGGATAGGATTAAAGCGACAAACTATAAAAAGTAATTGTCGTACAGGTTGATTAAAACAAGGTCATCATGAGGTTTCTAAACGATTTCAAACAAGATGTAGAAACGAGTGTTTAGAGATCTTTTCCGATTCATGACACTGCGTTTTGTTGAGCTTTTGTCAAAGCGCGCTTGTTAGTCTAATTTACAGTTTTACCCTTAGCGTGACTTAGTGGATTTGAATAATCGTCTTTTATTTGTTCACCCACGAACGAAATTGAATATAACAACGAATTTAGAAATTTTCCAAACAAAAAAGAGTGCTATCAACCTCACTATCGTTATAGAAAAGTGCCGCTGAGTTAGATAAAAAGAATGTCTGGAAGTTTATACTTTATAGAAATGGTCATGGCCGTTATCCGTGGGGACAAGGCCAATCAGGGCGCCATTCGTGGACAAACGGCCAAACGGGACGGCGTCCTCCTTGGGCACGAGACCAAACAGGCAAACACCCTCATTGGGACAGAGACAAACACCGATGGGACAACAGGCCTCGGTGGGACAAAGACAAACACCGATGGGATAACAGACCTCCATGGGACAAAGACAAAGATCCCAAACATCATCCTCATCCTCATCCTGGGAAAGACGATCGTTGGCCTCCTGGAGGAGGAGAAGGAGGAGGAGGCGGAGGAGGCGGAGGTTCTGGCGGTTTTGGTGGCGGTGAGTTAATGGCTTGCTCGAATGTTGGCACCTAACAAAGAAACGTTTAGGGAGCATGGATTACGATGGTGGCATGGGCATGGGGGCCGGCATAGCAGGTTCGTTTGCTGCGTCATATCATGCAACTATGCGCTAATAAAGAACTCTCTAAGGAGGAGCGATGGATCTGGCGGGAATGGGCTTATCGGCTTTGTCCGCTTTACCGTTAGGTGGACAAGATTCTTGTGGTGAGCAAGCTTTCTCTTAAAACTCTTTAAATTCCCACTACTCGGCTTATCTTGCAGTTGCGACTTTCGTGCAAAATGGTCCGGACGGTTCTCCACTTTACAAGTGCGATTGTCCTAATGGAACATTCTATCGGTACAACTCATGCAACTGATCAAACGAAGCTTTTTGAGAAACAAACCGTGTACACGCACGAATTGGCTTCATTTACGATTCCAATAGTTTGGGAAACCTAGTGGGCTAATTTTTTATCTGGGCAAACGTAACTGGCTTAAGGCATGAAGCAAGTGTATAAGTCCCGAGCAGGATGATTGAGAATGCTAATCGTAGTTTTAATGGTATTACCATGCATGAATATTGTGCATTCATGTGAACATGAAAATTTGATGTTGCGAGTAGTAAGTGAACATAAAGATTGAATGTTATGAATCATAGCATGCCGCAATACACCTTCCGCTTCCATCAAAGAAAAATTTATAGACAACTTCTTATACACACGCCACTTATCCACTTCTTCCACTTCACCCGCTTCGATACGCAGCATCAGAGTGGTTTGCTTTGGCCCGAAGCGGTGGATGGGCATGGTATCGTCGTTTCCTCGGTGTACAGTACCGCTCATAATTTGTCAAAAAAGTCGCCGGAATACGCTACAGTGCGCCGGAGTGCAGCAGAGTGCGCCGCACTCCATTTAGTGTCCGTCGGAATTCGCGTCGCATCGCCATATCTCGATTCAGAATGGACAAATTCTGAATCCGAGGACAGTGTTTGATTCAGCTCGGCGAGACGCATCATCTAATCTATGAAACTGCCACGATCTATCAGGGTACGATAGGTACACGACAGTAAGTTTCGCTCAATTTTGTAGAATTTGTGTTCAGTGTGCTGATAACAGTATCGCCATTGATTTGTCGCTGATGACACATAGTAGGTATACTGTAGGGGTATGGTAGAGTTACTCTGATCGAATTTGTTTCAAATCAGCTCTAGATAGGATACCGCTCACAGAATGTGCACAATCTACGTGAACTTCGCGGAATTTCGAGATTCGCGGAAGTCCGCGATATTCTGGTTTCGCGACAATCCAGGATTCTTGGAATCACGGGAATCACGCAGATTACGCAGCGCCATAACTTCTTTTGGATTGATTGTTTAAAACGCTGATCAAATCTGTTCATAACGCTTAATGCCTGTGTTGGATTTGATAGTTAGATAGGTCTGAGCTTCAGCCACGAAGCTGATTCAATTAAGCAGCTGAAGCACACGCAACCACCATATTCAGTACATTGGGATCCCTCGGGCAAGTGAACTCAATAATTGCAATCAGAATGTCATAATCAGTCACGGTAATCGATGAAGTATGCGTTCTTTACATTTTGATCAAAATGCATGAGGGCGTGCTTTCGTAAGCTCCTAACTAGGCGATTTTCATAGACTGGAGCTTGAGACATGCACCATTCGATGGCACAGTTTCTAGTAACTTCAGCCTTATAAGCAAGCAGGCAAGTTTTCTGACAAATACGCGAGAGGTGCAGGCAGAGTTACGAGCTTTGTGTCTCCGTCACAGTTACCTCACCATATTTCTGCAATAAGACACTGTACTTGACAGAGACCATGATTTTCATAAACAGCGTGTTGGAAATCCTCTATAAGCGGAGTCTTTTTTCAAACCAAGATTATCAACATTCCCATCAAACCACGGGCGAGCTGAGCGTGAAACGAGGAAAAATCAAAACACCCGAAGTTCTCTGAAAACTTGCTCATAGGGGTTATCCGACCTGCTAATTACAAAACTCATATCTGCTCAGCAGGATAGCTTTCTATTCTAGGATTACGACGAGTAGAATTCGGGACGACAAGAATTTTCACAGTTTACCAGCCCTTCTATTTCCATCGGAAAGACCTGTGACTACTTTAGTGCTCCATAATCCACAGAATAAGTACTATCGAACGGTCCTTGCTAGAGTCTGCTAGGGGCAATGCGCGCTACCGTACACCTTTGCGCAAAGACCTCCGTCCACAGAAAGATTTGAGAGCACTAAAATCGGAATATCAAGGATCTGCTGTATATCAAAAGATTTGCCTTGATAAGCTGAGCACAGCACTTTCTTCGGATTCAGAATATATTCATTTTGAAGGAAGTTACGGCGAGTAAAATTGGAAACGCATGATTTTTCCGAAATTCACCAAAGCTTCTATCTCTATTGGAAGACAGCCTGCCGCTACTTTGCGCACGATAACCTACGAGAACAGTACTATCGAATAGGGCTTACTGGAATCTTTTATGTCACACAAACGCTGCGTTACTCCTTGCGAAAGAAGAACTCCACAACTCCAGAGAAGAATTCGAGAAAAAAAACGAGCATGGAAATGGAAAATATTGAAACGATTATCGAGGGAATGCTGTACATCAAAAGATTTGCCTTGACGGCTGAACACATTGCTGCTCTCGGATTCAAAATATATTGGTTCCGAAGAAAGTTATGGCGCTGCGTAATCTGCGTGATTCCCGTGATTTCGCGGATTCTGGAATGTCGCGAACTTTCCAGAATATCGCGAACTTTCGCGGAATCCCGGAATTCCGCGAAACGTAGCTTTTGCACATTCCGTGAACGGTATTCTACCTTGAGCTGATTTTAGAATACGATAAATTCGATCAGAGTGACTCTGCCATACTCCTACAATATACCTACTAAGTGTCATCAGCGACAAATCAATGGCAATACTATCATCAGCGCACTGACCAATCCAACCAAACAAGAATCTTCAAAATTGGGCGAAAACACTGTCTACCATGTACCTATCGCACCCTGATAGATCGTGGCAGTTCTATAGACTAGATGATGCGTCTCGCCGAGCTGAATCGGACGTTGTCCTCGCATCCAGAATTTGTCCGTTCTGAAGCGAGATATGGCGATGTGACGCAGATTCCGACGGACTCTAGTGGACTGTGGCGCACTCTGCCGCACTCCGGCGCACTGCAGCGCACTCTGGCGACTTTTTTGACGAATTATGAGCTTTAATGTAAGTTGGGAGGTGCATTTGCAGACACTTGAACGCGTTGGTGAACTTGTCAAACCTCTACTGCAACGCATGGTTCTTTGTGCATATGAACACTAATCTACTGGTATTTTCTTTCTTCTTCACATATATTAAGCTCGCAAACCCACCTTGTCTCGATGAGCAAATCTATCCTAAAAAATGCTTCAGCATTCCTTTGGCATTCAAGCAACATCTTGACTTATTCTTCCAATTACTTACATCATTTTGCTTCTGCATCCTATGCAAGTCCGAGCCTAAGAACTGGATTGTTCAATTCATTTTTGAAAACATTTTTCACGTTCAGAATTCGTTTACTTCTTTCCCTTGCACCTTACAGTCTGCACTACTTTTTACTTTTGGACATCGCAACTTCTAGATCTTCAAATTCTCCATCTGCTTGGATCAATTTTTTCCTTGCATAACCATATTTTCACGTAGAAACTGTTTGTGATTCAGTTTTCTCGTTCAAATTACATCTACTCATTCATGTATCATCTTATTACACTCATAATGAATTGAACTTCAAAAGTTCCGCCAATTTGCAAATTTTTTGACTTAATATGTTATAACTTCTCTCGAAATTTTTTGAACAAAATGAATTTCCTGGATGAGCGAGATTGTGGCTTCATCCATGCGGAAAAATCAAGCAAGAAAGAAGAAAAAATTCAAGGAATTCTGCGAGGTTTCCTTGGCACTGTCTATTTTGACATACTAGTTCTCCCATAACAGTACAAACAGACATATTTGGCTGCCATCACTGAGCAGCACTACGTCAGAGATTATTTGATGGCAAATATACCCACCTTTTATAAGCTGCACACACCACAGCGGACAGTGGCGCGAAAGTACCTTCAAACAGAATGTTTTTAATCTAACAAACCGAAGACTCGGTGCATTATTTGATTGCTCTTCATTATGCGTTTTCAGGTCTTCAGGTATCTCTTTATTCCCTTCAAAGTAATGATTGCAGGTATTTGGGTTTTGTTGCATTCCCTTAAAGATACAGTCTTTTTCAGCCTGGAGTAGGCGAAACAATCCGAGTGGAGCAGCGCGTCCGCACCGCCCTGACTCAGCGAGATAAATTAGAATGAAGAGACGCAGACAGCAAAGCGGCGCGATTCGTTACGAAGCGGACTCCCGCCAGTTCAATTTCCGCCTAAACTGAGTTGAAACTTAAACTTACTGTACAATGGAGTTGACGATGCTTTCTTAAGTTTCAACAATGTTACTAACGTTGAAGGACTGTGCTTTGATTCGATGTACCGCTAGAATTTTAAAGTTGCTTTCAATTTTCATCCAAAAACGAAAGCAGAAAGTTACCGACAGTACTGGTAAAATAGATAGTAATTCTGCATGTGCGGCTTCGCGCATCGCGACCGTCGTCGCACATTATCTCGCGTGCGATGAAACAATTGCGGCTTTTACGGCGGAAAATAGGGTAATTCAAGTTGCCTTTGCTGCATAGAGAATTTTATAAGCACTAAAAAAACCATTATCTGAGCGCTTTCCTGCTCTCCCAGATATGTCAACTTTCCGATATTCGATATTTTTTCTTGCTATTGCGAACAAAAAAGCTGATGGGCTGATGGCTCCTGCTTGCTCTCGCTTTACTCTAACATAAGCAATATTGAATACACCACTAGTCGCTATACGTAGATTGTTGTCGCTTGTTGAATAACTGAGTTTGTCTTCAAACTTCGAAAGAAATTGGAAAAGTAAGACATACTGTAGGGGGATGAAAAGTTGCGTAGGTTGCCCACTAGATTTTTGCTCATTATTACAATTGCTAGGTTTTTTTACACTGCCAAAATCTCTCCATAGAAGTTTTTCAAACATGAGTGCAAAGTAACTTAACTTCTGAGCTTGAAATCTCATCACTGGGAAGACATTTCATCAAGAAGTGAGACTTTACAGGAGCAAGAGGAGTGCTTTTGAGCGGTAATAATACTGCAATAAGTCAATCTAAGAAAATAGCTGCCTAAATCAAGGCAACTAAATCGGTTAGAACTTTCAAAACGAGCTAGTACGTACGTCATATTATCCTAATTATGTAAAAATAAGCAACATTTATTTTTGGACACGCATGTAGCTGTGTCACTATACTGAGCCATTGTTATGTGAAAATGTTAAGTTTTGTCTAAGCACACGCAAGCGATACACAAAATGTAGGAATTCACAATTTTTAAGAATTTGAAATTTTGATTAATCCAACTTTACACCGTATTCGAGCAACTGCCGAATCTACAAAAATGGCATGGCTGCCCGCTTCTGGATGCTATCGAAACATGTGTATCTAATGACCAAAAACAGTGTTCTTCCATGGGCTAATTACATCATCTTTGACGAAAAATTCCAATTCTGTACACATTCTAAGCTGCATCACTTTACCATTGAAGCCGGTGTCAGCAGGCCCAGGTCACTTACATCGCTGGCGATTCGTGCACATTCACTTTGATGCTGCTATTGCCAACCTCCGTTCTATCGCTCCTTCTCTTGCGTAAGGTTTTTTTGTAAGTTTAGATACTTGTTCTGATAGAAGCTTTTTTCAGAAGTACTGCTGTGTGAAGCTATAAGGGGAAGATTTGGAGGTTTGAGAGGAGGATTTGGCCGAATTGGAAGATTCAGTGGAGGTTTTGGCCGAGGTAGAAGAATTTTTGGATATCCGACAAGGGGCTTGGGTGGAGGACGCAGAAGCTTTAGTGGCATCGGAGGCGGTAGAAGAAGCTTTGTTGGAGGAAATTTTGGAGGAAATCGCAACATTGGTCACTTTGGACAAGGACCTGGAAGGTTTGCTCCGAGTTACAGCAGATTCCTCAACCGAGGCTACGGAAACCGTTTCCGTGGTCAAGAAACCGTTACCGTAGTCAGGTTGGGGTAGGACATGCAGAACTTGCGTCATCTTATAGAATAAACTTTGGGCAAGGCCCTGGAAGATATCGCGGAATCGGTGCTGCTGGAAGAGGTTGGCCTGGTCATATTACTGGAGGCACTCATGGCAGAGACAAATTTGGCTACGGTGGACGCCGTAATCCTGTAACGCGTATTGTTGGTCAACAGAATGGCGGAAAAGGTCGCCGTGGAAGTTATTCTGGTGGACGCCCGGGTCCTGGTAAACGCTTTGGCCAACGTCCTGATAAACGCCCTGCTCCTGGTAAACGCCCTGGTAAACGTCCTGGTGGACGCCCTGCTCCTGGTAAACGCCGTGCTCCTGGTAAACGCTCTGGTCAACGTCCTGATAAACGCCCTGGTAAACGTCCTGGTAAACGCCCTGCTCCTGGTAAACGCCCTGATAAACGTCCTGGTGGACGCCCTGCTCCTGGTAAACGCTCAGCTCAACGTCCTGGTAAACGCCGTGCTCCTGGTAAACGGCCTGGTCAACGTCCTGGTGGACGCCCTGCTCCTGGTAAACGGCCTGGTCAACGTCCTGGTAGAAGCTCCGGTCAAGGCCAAGATTCTAACGGAGGCCTTGGTCATGGTGGATATAGAAATTGGAACAATGGCGGGAAAAGAGGGTAAGCCTTTAAATTCAACTCTTGACCAAATTTTCTCTAAATATAACTTTGAACGAGAGTAGATAAGTGGCAAAAGGCTCTTTCAAAAATTTCAGTACAAAATAATGGAGACTGTCGTATGCTGTATACTACTTTTTTCGTTGAGACGTGGTGCTTTCTAAGTTTTCTGGCACTAGGCAAAGGAAAATTTTCTTGTTTTGCACCGCATCATTTCTGCGCTATCTTCGAAGTGGTCCAAGTAGAATTCCAAACACTTCTATAACCGGGGAGACAAATATCCGCGTGGTTGTGGTTAATAGGGTATCGCAAATCCATATATTAATTCTTCGCTTTACCGTTATGGTACACTTATCACCGAATTCGCACTGCTTTAAGTTCATTTTTTGAGAACCTTGTTGAGGGGGGGGGGGAGGAAGTTAAGCACTTGTCTTCCACCCCGATGGTCACCTGTCTTCTCTTCAAAGTCATTTTCTTTTCGAAGTCAACGAAAACCTTCCATACTTGAACTGCTCGTCTACAAAAGCATGTTGCTGGTGATAACAATGAGTTTTCAAGATATCGAGTTTTTTGATTAACCTTTTCGACTTGCGGTTCATCGCAAATTCCATGATTCAAAAACATCATTTGTGCTTATTGGCAAAATGCACAGCATGTTGGGTTAGAAAGTAATTGGTACGACTTTGAAGTGTTTTCGGTGACATCGAAGAAAGTGAAATGACTTCAAAGAAAAGGCGATCGGCCGCCGGGGATCATCAGGGGATCATACAAAAAGATGGAAATGCGGCTTGTACAGCTTCTCGCTCCTCTTCGATTTATTTATAGGAAGGATGATGGGACTACTTGAGGATAGGTAGACAGCGTAAATTCTGGATATCTGGAGCTTCAGGATATGAAGCTTTCTTTTAGGCTGCGATCCTCTCCTCGGCGGGGATGTTAAAGGCAGTGTCTCGGCAGGATTTCGTTTTTCAGTTTTTTCAACTTTTCGGAGGCTTATCGCCATGAGAAATCTATATCTGGGCTTCTTAGCGCATGAAAATGGCGAAAATGAGCTTTTCTGGAGCTTTTCAGGTCCGCATTCACTGAAGATAAGCAGGAAAAAGCCGCGCTCCGCCTCCCTTGTTCCAGGCTTCGCCTACTTCTCCACTGAATGCGGACCTTGCAAGCTTCGGACAAAAGTTTTCGCCATTTTCATGTGCTAAAAGGCCAAGTAACGGTTTTTTATGGCGAGAAGGTTCCGAAAAGGTGAAAATCTGGAAAACGAAATTTTGCAACTCACTACCTTTAACGCATGCGGTCCTTAGAAAGAAAGTTTGGAAGTTTATCTTTTGCAGAAACGGTCATGTTCACTCTCCCTGGGGACAAGGCGGCCAGTCAGGGCATCGTCCTGGGATGAACGACCAAACAGGGAGGCACCTTCCTTGGGCACCGGACCAAACAGGCTGGCACGCTCCTTGGAACGGGGACAGACATCCAAGGGACAGAGACAGACATCCGCGGGACAGAGATAGACATCATCCTCGCGATGATAAGCACTCTCGTTGGCCTCCTGGAGGAGGAGGGGGAGGCGGCGGTTCTGGCGGTGGCGGTTTTGGTGGCGGTTTTGGTGGCGGTTTCGGTGGTGGTGAGTTGATGGATTGTTCGAATGTTGGCGCTACTTTAACAAGAAACTTTGAGGAGGCATGGGCGACGGTGGTATGGGAATGGGGGCCGACATAGCTGGTTTGTTTTGATAACTCGTGTCATGCTTATGCGCTTGTAGAGGAGTCTTGAAGGAAAAGCTATGGATATGGCAGGAAATTTGGCAGGAATGGGCTTATCAGCTTTGTCGGCTTTACCGTCAGGTGGACAAGACTCAGGTGGACAAGACTCAGGTGGACCAGACTCAGGTGGACAAGACTCAGGTGGACAAGATTCTTGTGGTAAGCTAAGCTTCCTCTTATGATAGAACATTCAACTTCTCACGTACTGGGCTTATCTTGCAGTCGCGACCTTCGTGCAAGACGCTCCGGACGGCTCTCCACTCTACAAGTGCGATTGTCCTAATGGAACATTCTATCGATCCAATTCCTGCAGTTAAAAACTGATCACAACTTTTAATTACAAGTTCAATAGTTTAGGGAACCTAGTGGGCTAATTCTTTAAAAGCACCATCCACCCAACTCGAATTCAATGTTTTTGTCGCCTTTAGGCCTTCTAGAAGCCCTGATTCTGAATATGGAGCGAAAATCCGCGAAACCCCCAAAAATCCCTGTTTCAAACCCTCTGCAACAAGCGCAGGCGAGATAAAGCATGCAAATGGGAGGGCGACCAGGGCCCGGCACCGATGGTTTGGGGCCAAACTGGACTTCGTTTTTGGAGTTAGAAGCAACGGGGACATCGTTTTTATGAGGTCCTGGAGGAAGCGCCAAAAAAAAACACGACGAACATGTCAGGTTTCACGGGTTGAACGTGTTCTTTCGCAAGCGCGCGAATTTCAAATGTAAGACGCAAACAAACAAATGGCTTGTTTACAGCGCACAAACAATCACATGGCTCCGAATTTGGGCTATGTGTATACAATATTACTCCAAACTATGTTATGTAAAAAGTTTCCAAAACTTATGTGTACTAATATCCGTTCTCGAATTTGTTGGTTTCTAGACCAACTACCAAACCAACTGGGTTGGTTCGGAGCATAAATATCGGAGAGTTCACATAAGTTTTGGACCTTTTTGATTTGGACGATTAGAACGGTCAAAAATCTATCATATAGTGAAGAGAGCGGATCAAACCGTTGCCTCTCCCCTTTTTTAAATCAAAAGTAGTATAATTCTACGCGCTGATAGATATCGCGCTCCAATCACCTGCGGTGTCCTTTGAAATATGTGGTGAAAAATGCATCGCTGGATTGTTGAGGCTACAGATTTGGTTGGCCTAGGAGATTTTCGACATTCCCATCATCAAAATGGTACTATACCCAATGGCAGAGCCTTTAATCGACTCGAAATGTTTTCTCATTGCTTTTTGTTATAGTATTAGGTTGTCCGGAAATTAATGCCCGTTTTGAATTTCAACCGCAAAAAGCCATACACGTCTCTCTTCTAAATGGATTGCAAAGTACCATTCGATAGAGCAAAGCAAGCTCTACAAGAAGGCCATCTTGCTTTTGCAACAGCTCTAATCCACCACGAGTTTCGAGCCAAAAACTAAAAAGATTCAACTGCCGGAGAAACTGAGAAAAATCGTAACTTAGTTCGTAAAAATCCTACAAAAATTCTAACTTGCTCACGTAAACATTATCCACATAAAACATCTATATACGTCTTTGCCATATTTTCTCCTCTGTTAGAAATCAAGAAAACGGAAATTTTCGTGCATTTGCCAAAGTGATGCTGTGCCGTTCTCACATAGGTAGTAGTATACTACAGACCTTTAGAAGTACAAACATAAATTTCCAGCTCTCTACAAGCTTTAGTTCTCGAGAAATATCGAATACAGTTTTCCCTAGTCATGTGGTCCAAGCTAAAATTCAAATTTCTCGCGAACTAAAGTTTGTAGAGAGCTGGAAATTTACATTTGTACGTCTATAGGTCTGTGGTATACTACCACCTATGTGGAAACGGCACAGCACCACTTTGGCAAACGCACAAAAATTTCCGTTTTCTTGATTTCTAACAGAGAAAAAAATACGGCAACGGCGTATATAGATGTTTTATGTGGATAGTGTTTACGTAAGCAAGTTAGAATTTTTGTAGGATTTTTCTCGATTTTTCGGGCAGTTGAATCTTTTCAGTTTTTGGCTCGAAACTCGTGGTGGATCAGAGCTGTTGCTAAAGCAAGATAGCCATCTTGTAGAGATTGCTTTGCTCTATCGAATGGTACTTTGCAACCCATTTAGAAGAGAGACGTGTATGACTTTTTGCGGTTGAAATTCAAAACGGGCATTAATTTCCAGACAACCTAATACATACCTCAAAATGCGCTTTTTTCGCTTTTTTGTTGCTATTTTGGTTGAATAAGGGTTTCCCTACTGATTTTCACGTCGAGAGGGACTTCGTAAATTTCCGCGAAGTCATGTAGGACTTCGTTTCCTAAACCTCCAAACCAACGCGTGCCGGGCCCTGAGGGCGACCATGGTCGCCCCGCCTATTTTGCTACTTCCGGAGCGAATTTCTCGCTCCAGAAGCAGTCTTTTGCGGCGAAGCTTGGGGGTTTGCCTAGTGTGGAGGCGCACACTAGTATGCCATCATAATCTCGCCAACATCCATTTTGGGTGGACGGTGCCTTTAACTGGGTAATTCTGTAACTGGCGTGAGGCATGAAACAATTGTGAAGTATCAAGCAGGATAAGTGCGGATGCTAATCGTAGTTTCATTAATATTACCATGCATGAAACATTGTGCATTCATGTGAACATAAAGATTCGATGGAGTTGTAAGTGAATATGAAGATTGAATGCTATGAGTCGTAGCCATTTAGCGACACCTTCCGCTGTCATTCAAAGAAAAATTCATAGCCAACTTCCTATACATGCGCCACTTATTCACTTCGTCCACTTCATTCGCTTCTACGCAGCATAAGTGGTTTGCTTCAGTCCTTGAGCGGTGAATTGGCATAGTGTGTGCCTACGGAACAGAACAGGACCCAGCACGTGTCTGGAATTGAACTAGACCTGTTTTTGAGGCAAATAGCAGAAGGATAGTGAAGCACATGTTAAACATGTATCTTACCTTCAGACATGCTCAACTGCTTCATTATCAAGTTGGTATCATCTGTTCTATGACTAGGAGACGCGAGAGCGCATCACGGCATTGTCTCAACAAGTTTGGCTTTGTTCTTCCCTGTTTTCAAAGAGTGAACTGAAATAAACTAGACGAGATAAATAACAAGTATAAACCTGCTAAGTACATGATTAAGCTTGTATAGACAATGGTGCAATGCGGTCTAGCGTCTCAGTGTCAGAGAATGAATGAACATCACTGACGTACTCGGAAGTATTCTTTGTTATAAGCGCGCGAGATCAAAATAATGCTCAAAAACAAATGGCTTGTATGCACATAGAGTTGTTGTTTATACGAGATTAAATTTGAAACTTCTTTATCATTCGCAAAAAGAACCCAATGATGCTCTCCGCCCAGCACTACCAATTACTTGTTAAGAAATTTGTCAGTGAACTGGCGAACCTACGGCTCCCGCCAGAGTGCCGAAGTTATGCCAGCGCTACGCCAGCATTTCGATCGATACACGTGTATTTCGTTGGGGCGGGGCTAGCTGACGTCCCCAACGAAATACACGTGTATCGATCGAAATGCTGGCATAACGCTGGCATAACTTCGGCACTCTGGCGGGAGCCTACGGGTCGCTACCAAGTGGGTCGGAGCAGATGCAATAATAGGTTTAGTTGTGACTATAAATATCTCTATATAAGTCTCCAACTGCTTATAGAGAACATGTTTGTGGAAAGGCATTTCAAAAAGGAGAACTGCTTGCGGAAGATAAACTTCACAAATCATTCAGCATTTTTCGAAAGCTCTCCCATGACCATGCGAGATTATGGGAAAATTTTTTGCTTCCCGCAACCCCCTCCCCCGCCCCCCCCCCCCCCACCGTTTCTCATGGACGCTCATTCGAATAATAAAAAGACTCCACTCAATGACCCTCTCGAAAACTTTGCTTCATCCAATTTCGCGATTTTTTATGAATTTCTCAACGAAATTCATGAAAAATCGTTAAAAAATGAATAGAATACGCATCATTTTGGAAGTAGGAGAACATCCAACAATGATGTATACTACAAACAACATAGCTTTTTCTCAAAATCAATTCAACAGAAAATCATTTGCCTCAAACTTGCCAAAAAGTCAAGTTAGTATTTCTTCGAATTAAATATGAAATCTCACTACGAAAAGAGACCCCACCCTAAAAAACATGACTAAAGAATTCTCATGCGCTATTCTGTTGCAATGTTTGGCGAGGTCTAGGCAAATATAATCAATTGATAGTTTTTAAACGAGGAACTTTTCGGCAACGTACGCTCTGAGCGCCGCACAAAGGCATCGTCCCTCAGAGCCATGGATATTGAGATTTTACAGTGTCGCAACAGCAGACCCACCAAACAATCTGTCAGTAAAGTTTGGAGCGAAAGCATCAGAAAGGCCTAGAATTTACTTCAGAAGTCTTCCAGACCCGCCCACTCACACGTGGTTTTGAGCGAATGCGGATTTGAAGAGATTTGAAAAGAGCTCATAGTTAATTTCATGTTCTGAGAAGCGCAGATATGGTTCTAGCATGACGAAAAAGCTCCTGAAAGGTGGAAAACCGAGAAGCGAAATTTTGCCGGGACACTGCCTCTAAAGAACGTACTTATAAGAAAAACTTTCTTACTGCTCTCACAGAAAAAAAACGGAGTCAAGCATTTGCTCACAACGTATCCTCCAATCTCTTTACGTTTCACTTCTACCCCAAACGTACAAAAATCTATTTTCCTACGCAATCAAACTACCCTACGTGCCGCTTACAGAACGATGTCTTCTTGGAAGAAAGTGCCTCGTGCCCCTAAAGACCATATTTATAAGAAAAAAAAAACTGTCCTGCGAGTCCCAAGAAAAAAGAGAGATTGAGCATTTACTTACAACATATTCTCGAACTGCCATATCTGTCACCTGAGGACCATCAGTTATAAGAACAACCCAAAGGTACAAAAATATTTTCCTGCCCAATCAAAATACCCTACATGCCGCTTACAGAGCGATATTTGTTTGGAAAAACCTACGGGCCGCCTAAAGACCGTATTTGTAAGAAAAAATTGCTTTACGACTCTTAAGAAAAAACAGTGAAGTTGAGCATTTACTCACGCATATTCTCAAATTACCCTACCTGTCACCTAAGGCGTCGGGCAAGGTTCACGGACTTCATCGTCGCGATTCATCGCGACAAGACGAGTGTTACGCGTTCATTGTATGCCGATCTTCTTGTATTTCCGTTGTGATAGTTACTCACGATTAATCGTGTTGGGAAACTATCCCAACCGAAATGCGAGAAGGTCGGCATGCAAAGACATTGTTGCAGTTGTCCTGTCGCGATGAATCACGACGATGAACTTGCGTGAACTCTGCCCGAGGGCTGAGGACTGTCAGTTATAAGAACTGCCCCAAAGATACAAGAATCTGTTTCCCTGCCTGAACAAAACGCTCTACGTGCCTCTTATAGATCGATATCTCTTTGTA